CGCCAAGAAAGCAGCTCTCATCAACCAGCTCGGAGCATCGCGCGTCCCGACGATGCCACAGGACCCGCCACGACGCGCCCCTGAACCGAGGCACCGAGCTCCCGAACCGATGCACCGAGCTCCCAAGCCGATGCACCAGCGACCCGCGCCACAAGAGCCGGCGCGTTCCATTGACATTCCACGTGCACCCGAGCCGATGTGTCGCCCGAGTGGGCCCGAAGCTGGGTTTTTGCCGCTGCCGGCAGCCCCGGCCTATCAGCCGGCGGCCTTGGGCCCGAGCCCCGCACCGCGCTTCCATGCGCCGTACCCGGAAGAAGAGGAGGCGTACTTGACGTGTGTCGACAACGCCGACGACACGCTGCCGCTGGGCGCCGAAGCAGGCTCGTACCACGTCAAGGCCGCGCTCATCCAGCAGATCCAAGCGCCAAAAGCCAAGAGCGCAGAAAACAGTGAGCCGCCACGCATGGAAGAGAGGCACGATATGATCTACCTTCCAAAGACGTCTGAGTTTGCGCACCAAGTGCGTCGCAACGAGTACGACTACTACCCTTTCGGTGACGATGGACAGTACGAGACGTCGCTGAATACGGTCGACACGCTCCCGCTCGGGTACATTCATGTCCTTGGTCCATCGTCGGTCTGATCGAAGTATTGTGTTGTAGCATGGAGGCCGGCGCGTACACCAAGGGCAAATTGGATGTCGCCGCGTATGAGCGCAAGCAGCGCCTCAAGGCCGATCAAATCAAGCACCTGGACGTCAAGGTGCGATTGGACCGACCGCCAGACCGGTACTAGGAGCCCCGCGGGTCGTAAAATGAATGAGCAAAGTGCGATGTGGCTGTGTGCATCCTTGCTTGGCCAAGTGTGTGATGGTGCTGTGGTGGGCTCGAGCTCCTCCCGCTTCCACCAGAGACGAGTGCATTCTTGCTTGACCTCGTTCAGCTCGCGCTCTTTTGATACTTCAATGGTTTCGGCGCTGGGCTAGGCACTGACGCCGCGAGCAGCCAAGGTAGCTGTGCCGAATAGAGTTGATGGTGCTGGCAAACGTCTAGGCTTTCCCTCTAGCATGCACTGCGGACTAGAGCCGTGAGCCAACTTCACAGCGGTGGTGGTACGCATAGGCTGTGCGCGTGAGTAGCAGCCGTCGAGTTGGTCGTGTTGCTTTGCCATACCCTCTGGCGATACGTGCCTCCTGTTATGGGACTTTGTATTGAACGGGCTGTCCTTATTATACCGGTGGTAGTGAATTTCTCTCTTCGATAGCGAGCCAAATGCATTACACGGCCCCATTCCGCGTGACGCGCGCTGCATCTCCCGCTTGACAACGCGCCTCTGACGCCAACTTGAAACTGCCTTTCAAATTCCAGCCAATCATCGCGAGGCTGCCTTTTCTGTCACCCAATCAAACGCGAATCAAACCCTTGTGTGACACACGCGCTGTCTGAACCGGCAAACGCTCACCATTCTACAACGGGCAATGAAGGCCGCAGCCATCCTCGTCGCGACCTCGCTCGCCGTCGCCAACGCGACCATCTCGGTGCCCGGCATCAACTACAACCCGCGCGTTGGGCCCAACTGGGGCCCCGACGCCACCAACTGCAAGTCGTCCGCCCAAATCGACAAGGATTTTGCGATTTTGGCCAAGATCACCAAGGGCGTGCGCATCTACTCGCTCACCGACTGCAACACGGCGGAGCTTGTCATTACCGCGGCCAAGAAGGCGGGTCTCACGGTCTGGCTCGGGCTCTGGGTCGGCCCCGAGCCGACGATCTTTGCCGCCGAGAAGGCCAAGCTATCGTCGCTTATCTCGAGCGGTCTTGTTGACAGCACCGTCGTTGGTGTCCACGTCGGGTCGGAGGCTGTGTACCGCAAGGACGTGACGCCCGAGAAGGTAGAAATTGCATCGTATGGCGGTGAAGCTTATATGATATGGTACAGGCGATCTCCAACTTTAAGGAAATCAAGGCGGTTCTTACGACAGCCAAAATCAACTTGCCGGTGACGATTGCCGACATTGGCGATACGTGGATTGCGAATCCGTCCATGGTCGAAGCGGTGCGACACCTACGATTGTGATGGCGATCTTAGTCCAACCTGGTGTAGGTGGACGTGGTGTCGGCCAACCAGTTTCCGTTTTGGGAAAACAAGAACGCCAACGACGCGGCGGCGTGGTTTTACATGCGCATGGAGCCCCTGATCGCGTCGGCGACCAAGTACAAGAAGAAGATTCTCATCTCCGAGACGGGCTGGGCCACCGGTGGGTCAGCGGTCAACACGGGCCCGACGACGCCGGCGCAAGCCGCGGTACGCACTCTCTACATCTACAATCTGGTCTGAGATGGGTGACTAGAAATACTTCAACGACTTTTCGCTCTTGGCCAAGCAAATG